CATGATATAGAAGCTGTTACATATCCAGCTGATCACATTACTGCCTGTTGCTGAAAGGCTTGAACTTCAACAAACAGGTTTTAAAATTCACTCGTGATCATTTATCGAGTGTACTATGTGCCAGGCACACACTGAGTATGGGAGAATCAGAGGAGCATTGCTCTCAAACACAGTGGTGTAATATATAAACTGATACATGCAAAGAGACCACGGGAAATGTCCTGCTGATGGTATAAATCAAGAGCCGTGCCAGAAGTCCAGGAGGAAGAATACCTCTCCTGGGAGACCCTGGGAAGACTGCAGTGGAGGTGATGCTTGAGCTGAGTCTTGAAAGATGAGTGGAAATTTGCCAGGTGAAGGAGGGCAATTTACAAGCAGAGGGAATAGGATGGCTCATGAAAGTGCCTGGCACGTTTGAAAAAGAGTGCAAAGGTGTGTTTAGCTGCGGCCCAGGTTTTGTGGGAGGGAAGGAAGCTGGGAGGACAGTTAGGTCAGGGCTAGAACACGGGAACCTTGTTAGCCTACACTCAGGGTGATCACCCCTTCAGGTAATGGGGGGCACAGAGGTGTATTGCATGATGTATTCTGTGTGTTGTGCTTTTAAGGGGAGCGGAGGTCATAAGGAGTGAATGTGTAACTTGGGAGTAGAGTAAGCAGAAACAGGCTAGGGAGACCAAAAGGGGGGTGGCAGTGGGAAGGGTTAACTTTGAGAAGCAGGGACTTCCCTGGTGGTCCAGTGGTAAAGAATCCGCCTTCCAATACAGGGGATGCAGGTTTGATCCCTGGTCAGGGAACTAAGATCCCACATGCCACAGGCTAACTAAGCCTGCGCGCCACAACTACTGAGCTCATGAGCCTCAACTAGAGAGCCCACGTGCTGCAAACTACAGAGCCTACAGGCCCTGGAGCCCGCGCATCACGAGAGAGAAAACCTGCACGCCACAACTAGAGAGAAGCCCATGCACCACAATGAAGAGCCCGCATGCCTCAACGAAGAGCCTGCACGCCACAAGACCCGATGTAGCCAAAAAACTAATAATAATAAATAAATAAAACTTTGAGAAGCATTATTGAAAGAGAATAGATAACACGTGGTGAACCCTGGCTGTGGAGGTGGAAGGCAAGGGTAAAGCGGAGTATGACTCTGAAGTTGCTCAGTACAGGGGAGACTGGGTGGCTGGTGACACTATTAATCCAGATGCAAGAACATGATGGGTTCTCTACTTGGGTGTGCCCCAACTAAAGGATGACCATTCACTTTGGCACAGGTGGCCAGTGACCAAACAAGAAGGCAGGATGACAGCGGCTGAGAAGCCTGCCCTAGAATGAGACCTCTGATCTCTTCATTTCCATGCCTCGGTTCAATACCATTTGAAAGCTGTTATCTAGAAGATATCTGATCTACTGAAAACTTTTTTGGGTTACTTCTTATCTGTCCTGTTATAAGAGTGTAAGTGTGGGAAGTCTGGAGCCAGATCGTTCAGGCAAGTGACCTCCAGCAAGTCAGTTAAACCTTTCCGTGCCTCAGTTTCCTCATCTGCGAAATAAGGATAAAAATTCTTCATGAGGTTGTTACAGGAATGAAATGAGTTAGTCTACGTAAAAGGGTGCCTGGCACACAGTGTAAGTACCTTGTGAGTGTTTGCTAGCATTATTAATAAGTAATGGAATACTTGACTAAAAGTGGTATAAATATTAGAGATTTATTATCAAAGAACAAGATTGGAAGTGGGCAGTTCCAGGTTGGTGCGAGGACCAGACCCATCCCACATCCCACTCTGCCATCTTTGGCTTGTTAGTGATTTCTCCCCTCATGGTGGCAGAAAGGCTGCTGTAGTCCCAAATATCAAGTCCTCACGTGACTGGCATTTCAAGCAGGAAATAAGTCTTTCTTCCTTGTGTAGCCCTCAATTATCAATGAGGAGAATCTTTCCTACAAGCCGCAGTTGGTTTCCTTTCAGCTAGAACTGGGTCACAGGCCCATCCCTAACTGCAAGAGGAGCTGGGAAAGAATCTGGCACTTCCAATCTATAAACAAATGAAGCAAAAGTGGAGCTGGGCTGGCTGTTGCATGGAGAATCCGCAGTGTCCATCACAGTCTGGGAGCCAAAGATTTCAAGGCTGCCTCACTCAGGCCAGGGATAATTGAGAAACAAGGACATCGCACTATTCTTCCAGAGTAAATGAGCCACAGGCGTCATCCTTCGGGGGTCATTAGCTTTTTTAGGGATAGCTTTTAACTCAGGTGAGTAACTTGTTGGTGAAATACAGAGAGAGGATATTTTTGAGCCCAGGGACCTTCCTAGTCTTCTCACCTGTTCTAGGCTGTCCCCTTCCCTTCCCACAAACCAAAGGAGGAAGTTCATAATTCAGTTCACCTTGTCTAGAAGGTTGGCCAGGCCAATCACTCTTAAAGGTACTTAAAAGGAAGTGGATGCAGGCTTCACCCCCTTCTACTGCCCCATGCAGCATCTCACCCATGGTGATGGGGTAATAAGCAGAGAGCTGTGTGAGAAGAGCTACTCTTTC